TGTGACAAATATTCATTTCGAAGGAAATTTGACGTGTATATTTTCCCGGGTTCATGTTTATCTGCAAATTATTAATTTTTATACATTAGTTTCCTGGTCCATTCTGTCTCCGTATTTTTTCCTCGGCTTTGCAAATGAACCAAACTTGGTGAGATTTTGATCCAATATCTTGAACATAGGTCGATGTGGTTGTCGTCTTTCGGCATACAAGTTGAAATACATTTCCGATGTCCTAACCCTGTTTTTATCGTATTTGTAATAAATTTGAATCATATCTCTTTTTTTTCATTCGTGAAAGCCATTTTTCGATAAAAATTCAATGGCTTATACAATAACAAAATGTCATTGATTATAACAAATTGAAATCCAAATTAAGAAACATCGAAGTCAAAGCCTATTATGATATGAATTAATTTTTTTCAGTATCTCCAATTTTTCGAAAAAGAATGATAACTTATGATACATCTTTGAAGAGGTAAAATCTGGTTCTATTCAAAACAGAAAAAATCCAATGTAGCGCCCATGAAAAAAAAATTTGATGATGGTGGCCGGAAGACGAAACGTCGGATGTCAGATCTGAAAACACCATTATGTAGCAGGGAAAAAATGGCAATGTGAAGGTGGAATTTATTTTGTAATCCTTCGCAAAATGAAGACAGAAAAAAATAAAAACCATTTTCCGATATTTCTGTTTTTCCGGATATCTCCGGATATACTCGGAATTTCAGAACTTTCTCAACGGCATATTGTTAGTCAAGTAAATGCGCAACTTTGGCCCGCAATTTAACCATCTTCGTATCTCTCATAGTTTCCGAGATCCCAATGGTGAGGATCGAATTTGAAACACCCTGTAAAGGTGTGTTCGTTAAATACATTTTAGAACGTTCGGAATGCGTTCGATAATGCAGATCTGTTGTATCAGTTACATCTGCTCTGTGTTCGGTATTTATACGTGAGCGAGGAGAAAAATGTGATCGGTTAGCTCCGAGGACAACGTTAGGATGAGACAAATTTTTTAGTTGACAGTTCCATAGTTTAAAAAATATGTCTGGTTTCAGTTATTTTTTGAAAATTATGAACTTTTGGTGAAATTTTTTACTCTTGTTAGCACAACACTGTCTTCAGAAAAGTGTTTATGACTCATTCTTATTGACGTAATAAAATCCCGTAAGTCAATCCCAAAATCAAAAAAAAAAAATAAACGGTGCAAACAGGATAGCACAAACTATCCAAATGTACCTATGTCTTTAAGACACATTTCATAAAAATTTTCGATTCTTCATTCAATATTCAGTCGGCTGCATTTTTAGAGAATCGAAAGCTCTAACTATACTTTAAAAAATGGTGTCAGAAATAATAAATCCACAACTACAGCAATTGCAGATTTGTGTACGAATATTTACGTTGCACTATTGAATTTTTTATGCAAATGTATGGTCATTATTATATTATATTATCATTAACGTACTGCCGTCTTAATGTTCTTTGATTGTACAATTGTATCGTTTTAATAATGAACAGATGGTAGTTATTCATTTAATACATACTCATTTAATGTTTTCATTTTTGTAGCTTTTAATGTTCTTTGGTATGCATTTGTTCTTCCACTTATGACCTGATAATAGTTATTTTAATATAAATTCATTTTATCTATATTACTGTAGCTTGTGAGTTCCGATATGACTAGTCTAATAGGTTAATATGATGTGAATCTTTTGTACAATGTGTATGAACTTCGGTGGCGAATGAATTGGTTTTAGTATCAGCTGTTTGTATTATTTCACAAATTCGTATCATTTTTAGTAATTTTTTTTTAAGATAAATGAAGACATGAATTGTATCAGGCAGATCAGGCTCATTCACTAGAATAATCCGCAAGCCCCTCTAAAAAGTTCCATAGACAGTAGGCTTGGAATCGCACGTTAAAACCTCGTTCATTCTTAACTAGCGCAAGTTTAGACTTTTGTGGGTTGTCATTCGCATAGATGCGACAGCTGGTTAACCAAAAAACAGATTTCTTGAACAGTTGCGGGCTTTTGATTCTAATGTTCATGTTAGTAGTGGAGTTTGGCGTATGGGTGCCTGGGCCTTTATGACCAAAGAATCTAAAATCCAGCAGTTAGGTTTCATGGCATTTGACTTGATATTTTACATGCCACACTTCAAAAATGTAATTTTGTAGGTACATGAATTATTGCAATAGAGGTCCATAATTAATGTATTTAAATATTTGCTCAAATATACCAACCGTATAATTTGTTTTCTTTGGAATTTAGTATATGTTAATGTTACAGCTTTGGCCTTCCACTGTCTGGGAATGTTAACAGATTTTTAATACTTAGGTCTTTACAAATTGCCGTTCTTATATGTTTTCATTTCACACTAATACTTTTTTGTTCTTTTTCGATACTTCCTTTTTCAACTATTATTTTTATAGTATTTGTGTTAGAAACACTGAAAAAGTTTCATTGGCAAACGTCAATCACTCCATGAAAAGTACGTACAAATATACATATAATAGATTTGAAAAAAAACACCTTAATATTTGACAAATGTACTGATTTTTTTTACCGAAAAAAATGACGGTTTCTTCTTCCATTTGTTTGGTCGTTGCTTCCTCAGTCAGGTGCATTTGACCAGTGCGCCTCCTATTACGTAACATAATAGGGAGCTTCGTCGGGAGGTATATACAGTTTGAGTTGCTCGTAACAATACCGTACCTTATAAGTAGCATTACTCGTTTTCTGCTGTTAATTTGTCAGTTTTCAGAGTATTATAAACATGCCTAAAAAAGCTATGATGTCTGTGTACTTTTCAGTACTATGGAGTTACCGGGAAATCAGAGTGGATTCTAAAATACATCCTTTCTTTGGCTTTACTGTAACATTTCTCACTTATACTTTTTCCAGATATGGTATGAAGTTTTTTGTCAATTTTATGCTTAATGAAACATTCAAAGATATACCTGCTTTAGCTAATATATCAACTTTTTTATTGCCCTCGATATATGCATGACCAGACCACGTACCTATGCAAATTCAAACATATATTTTAATTTTCTGATTGATTCAGCTGTTACTTAATGAGGATCCATAGTAATTTCGAAAACCATCTCACGATTTGATCTCCACAAACTTTATTTGAAAAATATATCACATGTTTCGAAGCACAGTAGCTTTTTGAAGTGATTTGAATACTTCAAGTTATTTTTACATCAATATTTATATACTACAGGTAACCTTAATTGAGACTACCTCCAAAAAATTACCTAAACCTCTACCTAAGGTGCCTGTTCAATTATGATCACCTGAAGCATATTACCTCACATCTACATCATTAATAATTATTTCTCGGTTTTTAAGAAAACAAGTTCAATAATGGTGATCTATTCAAATGTAGTTGGTCATTCATTAGAATGTTTGAATTTTAAAGTTTATTAATTTTCATTTATTCCAAATGATTCAGTTTCAAACCTTTATTTTCTATGTGCAAAACTTCGAACTTCTCGTTAAAGATATGATTTTCTCCTAGAAGATGCTTAGAATATGTTGAATTTGTTTCCTTATTTACATAGCTCGTATGATGTTCCTGGATTCGATTCCTAAACGTTCCGCCAGTTTGACCAATATATACCTTAGGGCACGTTTCACTTTAATTTATATACCCCTGATATCTCGAATTTGGATGTTTGTCTTTATTATTTTTAACTAACTTTCCCGAAGTATTACTTGGTCTATATGCAATTTCAATATCTCGTTTCCTCAATTTTGGACAATCAACGGAAAAAGTGACTTCATTTTTGAGGAAACGAGATATTAAAATTGCATATAGAATAAGTAATACGTTAAGAAAGTTAGTTAAAAGTAATAAAGACAAAACATCCAAATTCGAAAAATCAGGAGTATATAAATTAACGTGCCCTAAGGTATATATTGGTCAAACTGGCAGAATATTTAGGAATCGGATCCAGGAACATCACATAGCACAGCACATAGGAACATAATAAACTTAAAAATTCAAACATTCTAATTATCGACCAACTAGATTTGAATAGATCACCGTTACTGAATTTGTTTTCTTAAAAACCGAGAAGAAAGAATTATTAATGATGTAGATGTGACGTAATATGCTTTAGGTGATCATAATTGAACAGGTACCTTAGGTAGAAGTTTAGGTATTTTTTGGAGGTAGTCTCAATTATGGTTACCTGTAGTATATAAATATTAATGTAAGAACAACTTGGAGTATTCAAATCACTTGACAAAGCTACTGTGCTAGTGAAACGTGATATATTTAGCACATAAAGGTTCTGAAGATCAAATTAGATGTGTAGTTTTTAAAAATATATTTCATTACTGTGGATGATAAGTTTTTGATTGTCAAACTAATATAATCACTCGTTTACCTGAAAACTCGCATATTTTATTTGTTCTAATGCACTCAGTCTGTAAATATAAAGCTTTTCCTATATATTAATATACACGTCCTCATTCCCGGATATATAGCATTTACTTTGGCGTCATAAAAATCAGTTTAGTCATGGACTCTGACCGAAAATATAAATTTGTGGTATATTTATGCCAATTCCTATTTCAACATCGTTTTTTGACGCATCTGTAACCACAAAAATGAACTCTCCATGATATGTTTTTGCAAAAGTGAGGAATTTTTCATTATTGGTTGAATCCCCATTTGTAATATGGGCAAAATATTTTATCTCTTGTAACTAAGTATCAAATTCAAAGCCTAGAATAACAATATTACGGGTCAAAAAAATTCAATGTTTATTGGACCAAAAAAATTCAATATTGCGTATAAACTCAGTGTCTCAGTTAAGTGGATGAACAGTTTCTCCACTTCCTAAGTTGAAACCCAGCCTTTGTTTCAATATGAGCAAATTACTTTTTTATTGTTCCCATATCTGTATAATTTCAGAAACAAGATTATTATTATCATCATTTTTGAAAAATGATGCGTTGGAGTGAGAAAATTGAGATCAATTAGTTCGAAACATGGATTTTTTTAATAAAGTTTATTAAATAACTTCACATTAGAAGAAGAATCCGAGGATTTTGCCTCCCAAGTGTTTCCTTCTAGCTTCTTCATGGTCCATAATGCCACCACTAGTAGTCAATACGACATATCTGAAAAAAGAAAATATGTTGTAGAAAAAACACAAATTGAACATGTATTTAATAATTGAGATAACAAATGGACGTTTAGTAATAATATAAATGTCTAGGGGAATCGGAGCCGAGTATAAACGTTAACAACCAGATAATAATAGTGTTATTATTATAGTGGTAGCTAATACTATGTCAGCACGGGTCCCCTAATTTTATCTCCCTGTGTGCATCAAGAAATTCTGTACCGATAACATAAACCTCTCAAATATCACAGGTTGAAAAACGTATATTCCACTTCAATGATTTGAAGTGTTAAATTATAGAAAAATAACTAGTTTTGGCTATATCAATAATTTTAATTGTGAATCTGATGGATATATGTAATGAATTAATTGAAGTACTGTGGCGCTTTTCCAGTCAGTATTTTAAATATCCAATTCAGAATATTGATCATTGATACTATAGGAGTATACTTATGGCATTTTAATAAGCGCATCCCTCTGTTTTGTAACTTTTGTAGAGTAGAAATAGAATTACGAGCTAGTAATGATATCAGACCAGCACAGTAATCAAAGTGTGGTAGGATTATTGTTTTATAAACAGTCAAACTAGATTGGAATATTAGCTGTCTACTAATTCTAGTAAAGGAAACATTTTTTTTTTTAAATTTTATTACACACATAGTGGAAGTGTTTTTTCAAGTTCAAAGTGTTATCAATGATGAAGCCCAGGCACACAATTTCAATAGTTTTGCCACAGATCTCAATATCAATGGAGTTGATATCAATTAAATTCTATTTATATTGAGTTGTCAATATTATAGCTTTCATTTTAGTGGTATTCAGTTTGAGTTTGTTTATATTCAAAAACTTGGCTACGTTTTCAAGAGTCAAATTAATTTAATGTACAGCATTATGAATATCATAGTCGCTTGCTCAAATGAGAGTATCATCTGCAAAGAGGTTGATGAATTCACAATCACTAATGAAAGTCACATCATTCAAATAAAGTATGAATAAAACAGGGCCCAGTACACTCTCTTGGGGGACCCCAGTATCAATTGCCTTTTGACTAGATAGGACGTGTGCATTTTAGTACCTTGAAATCTGTTGAGTAAATATGTTGATACTCTCATTTCGAACATATGTTCAGTTTCAGCTGTTTAGCATGCTTTTGAGGCTATCACTCGAATATTCATGACATGAAAAATCATCGATAGGGGGGAGGACAGGAGCCTAATATGAGCCCCTCGATATATTTATATTTCTCCCACACTTGCAGTTTGTTACTTAAAAATATTTCCACTTCTGTCATGTGTGCCTGAGGTAGTCACACAAATATTAATCTTAAAAGAGGAGCAAAAGATTGTTCAATGGGGTAACGAAGGAGCCTTAAGATATTTTAAGGCCAAAATTTACAAAGTAGAGGAATACAATTTAGTTCTGCCATCTTAAGGATAAAGCCTTCAGAACAGAGTTTGTTTTAAAAAAGAACATATCGAAAATCATGAACTATTCTAATCACCCACAACAACATGAATTAGCAGCAGTATGATTCACAGACTAATTAACATACCAATGTCCACAAAAATTTTTGATAAGGAATTGAATCTGATGAAACAAATTACAGTGAATAACAACTTCAACTCAAAATGTAAAAGTAAAACGATTTGTAGTGACGTCATTAATAAGAAGATTCGCAAGAATGGAATGATGCAATTTGTATCAGATGTCAAATTTAATGATAAAAACAATCTTTTCAAATTTCTCTAACCTCAATCAGAATCTGATTTGTGCATACAATGTTTTGCATAAATATTACAAAATAGCTGCAATTTCGAAACCACTGTATTAGACTTTTTTTTTCTATTCAAAATATGGACCAAGAGTAGGTATTTTGACAACTGACGTAACGTGACATCAAATTCCGTTTCAAAACAAACCTCACGCTAGTTTTGAATCATCATGAATATGTTTCAAACCATAGTTGACGTGATGTCATCGTTCCAATGCCAGAATGAATGTATTTGAATCACAGACCAATACTTTCTGAATACATAAGCGCCAGAAAATGCCTTAATTCATCACATCCTTGATCTAACATTAAATCCTAACATAAAATATAATAGTGGCACCTTCAAGACACTCACATATACCTGAAAATATCCGATAAAAGAAAAAGACTACAATATAAAAAAATATTAACATAGCATATAAGATTGGTAACTCCTCGGGTAGACATGTAAAGAACAGCAAGTCAAACATAGACAACGATAACACATCAGGTGTATACAAACTTAACATACTGATCATGCCATAAAGTGTATGTAGGAAAGACTTCAAGAAATTTTAAAACAAGAATCTCCGAACATAAAAGAAGTTTGCCGCCTTTTGGAGTACGATCATGATTTCAACACTATGAAAGACATACTCTGTGTAGAAGGTGAGGGACAGAAGTTGAACGAGTCTCTGGAAATCAACAAGTGTGATCGTTCAGATTCTCTGTTGAACAACCAACAGGAGGTTGACCAGCCACTATTGTTAAAACCTTTTTTCATAATGCCAAAGATTTTACTAATATTCAAAAATGTACCTACTGTCCAAGGACTGTGATTGTTTCACAAAGTCTACATGTTATCTCATTGACTTTTAACCAATTGAGTTAGGTGTCTACTACTGTTGTATATAAGAATTGTAGCTAACTAAGTGTGTTAGCGAAATGCACAACATTTTCATCAAATGACGAGCTAAATCTCTGGAATATACCACAAAGTTGATCTAAATTCAGCCGAATATTATGAACCGTTAACAAATATAGAAACCCAAAGTGATTCTGCTGGCTCAAAAGGAGACCGGTTATCAAATCAGCCAAATTCAAATCATTAAAGGACACACTTTGTGTATAAGTAGCAGCTAATTACTCTCCTAAATCCATGTTTTCTTTCCTAAATATGTCTTTGAAAAACAATTGGATGAATTCAAACCCCTACCAAACTTGTAACATTTGAGCAAAACAGTTGTCATAAATTTTCAACACAAAATCTCAACACGTGTTTCACAAATCTAAAGAAATAAATTTCAAACGTTCAATCCAGTCTCGAATATACCTACACAGTAGGTTGAATGGACTGATGCCTATCAGAAAACAACTACTCCCCTGGCTAATACCACAAAAGATGTTGAATTATATCCGACAGGCGTCAGTGCAGAAATCTTCACAGAAAATTTCCTGCTTATGCAATTGGCAATACAACTGAAAGAGTCGACCTTCAATTTTGGAATGGGCACACTTGCAGACCAGTTTCAGGCTCATTAGCCACTCATCAGTGCAAGATAGTGGCCATCATCGACCTAAAATCAATGATATTCCATAATTGAAAATCGGAATTCTTTCAGAGTATTTCATTCCTTTTCCTAAGTTTAAACGAACAACATATGCATATGCAATTGGCCAATTGCATATGCAGGAAATTTTCTGCACTGACGCCTGTCGGATATAATCCAAAGCCCTTCTCGGTATTAGCCAGAAAGTTTTTCTTCCTTATTCAGAGGAATCGGGCAAATTACGGATATGCACTCGTCCACTAGATGGAGTGACATTTTGTTATCGCTTCAACTTAGGAAGAGGAATGAAATACTCTGAAATAATTCCAATTTTCAATTATGGAATATCATTGACTTTAGGTTGATGATGACCACAATCTTGCACTGATGAGTGGCTAATGAGCCCAAAACCGGTCTGCAAGTGTGCCCGGTCCAAAATTGAAGGTCAACTCTTTCAGTTGTATTGCCAATTGCATATGCAGGACATTTTCTGTGAAGATTCCTGCACTGACGCCTGTCGGATATAATCCAACGCCCTTCGTGTTATTAGCCAGGGGAGTAGTTGTTTTCTGATAGGCGTCAGTACATTCAACATACTTGTAGGTATATTCAAGACTGGCTTGACCGTTTGAAATTAATTTTTTTAAATTTGTTTACTGCCAGTCTTCAATCATAGCCCACTGACTAAAAAGAACGTGTTTCACTATTTGAATATGAAAACACTCGATGAGGCTATGTAAAACATACGATAAAGTCTTACTTGAATAAGTTATTGATTTTCATCAAGTATCGGTCAATTCCATCACATAATAGAATACCACCATACAGCAACTGTCCCAAAAAAATATTTTTGAATGAAAAAAGGTTCATTTATGTGGAATAAGTATAAAACAAAGTGGAATAACGTGTAAAGCTGACACGATGAATAAAATCATGTCTATCCTAACTATTCAGGGCCATAACTTTTATACGAAACAAAAGTCCCACGTTTTGACTTCAGAATATGTTCTTCTCATAATTTAACATAAGTTAAGAGTCAAATGTATCTCTGTCACAAATTTCCAGGTAATTCAAGTGATAAAATTTCCACAAAATATATAACACAGAACTTACCCAAACTGACGTGAGGGGAGTAAATTATTCGTCCACTTTTCAATGTGTGTAATGGGCACATCAAACCTAGGTGAAATTACTCCACATTTATTGATTCTTCCTGTTAAATTAACTACTATCTTCCCACTCCTATGGTCGTCTACAATTTCAAATTCTCCAATATAACCGTGTTTCATCATCACAGTCAGGAATTTTACCACTACTTTGGAGCAAGGCCGGATGAGTACCTGTCTCTTGCCTCGCTTCTCAGCATTGTTTATAGATTTTAAGGCATCACTCAATACATTCATTCGCACCATGGCTGAAAAATTAATTCGATGAATACAAAGTTTCAGAAAACGTGATTATAGTGTTACTAATATTACTTTATAAAATATTTTCCTTCTGTTGCGGTGTTGAGTTAGGATTAGAAAAAAGTTGGGTTAAGAGTCAAATTTTACTGCTTGATTAAATCAAACAACAGTAAAGCAGATCTTATTTCATGAACAAAGAAAAGTAAACTCATTTTCCTCCAAGGACTTCCAATTATACAAACCAGTTTCATTTATTTACTAGAAATGATACACCATAAACACTTTCAAGTTTTCCAATAAATATCGAAAATTGGTTGGAAAATATCCACCGATACAGAAAAAACAGATTCGTATTTTTCCTAATTACACTAATAGAGAAACGGATGAGCAGAAATATAAGAAATTACCTAAGAATTATTTGATGTTTATTTCCGAACTATTCACGTTCTCTGAAACATCGATAAAGGAGATGGTTCGTCAAGTCAAAACGAGAGGCGCTGATTCCTTTCTTCTTCTATTTATTTATATTTCCTTTTTGACACATATCTTCCGTAACTAACTAGTCAATTCCAGTAATTCAATCGGAGCATTGCTGCGATTTACTCCTCTAAAAAAACAAATAATTGTGAGAGTGAAATTTTGTATTTAAATTCTTACGAAATTCTGCCATCTCTGAGACTCCCCACAGTGAAGTATAGTTGACGGAAAAAATATGTTATAAGATAAATAATACTAGATCGATAGTCGAGGGTGAAGCAGCTTTCCAAAGTCATGTAATATTTGTGTGAGATAAAGGCTTCACCCACAACGTTCTTTGTTACAATTATTTTCACACAACATGAGACAAATACTTCTCAAGTACCAACTGCTGTTGGTACAATAACGCAATACCTAATGGTGCTATAATGTTCTGAATGATGTTGAAGATGTTGAGGGTGGGGGTGTCGTTGACAACGATCTTGACATTTAGAGTAATGAAAGTAGACTGACATTTTTGAAACAAAGTGTCGAATTTTTTCTTTTGCGCTGTATTGTTACATGTTAATTTAATCTGTAGTATCACGTTGTATGTTGCCAACTACGAGAAAAAAAATCGGATGTTTGTGTCTGTTTTGGAACTGAATAGCATTCAAATTCAGAAGAGGGAGAAATTATCTCTCTTGATGTCAGACTTCACCTGATTCAAGAATAAGGCCTTGAGCGTATAATTGAATCACTCGCAGATCTGCAAATACGTAGTTCTGTATTCATGAGTTCATACTATGAAAATTGGCAGGTCACCTCAATTTGAATTACCAGTCATTACACAGCGAACAATTCCTGAGAAATTGGTATTATCAACTCATTCGCAGATCAACAATTTGATTGTTACTCGCAGAACATTGATTAAACTGAAGAAGGGCGATGACGTCACAGAAAATTAACGATTCCGAAAAAATTTTCATAAAACATTGGAACATCTTCGATTTCATTGTTGTTTCATGATTGTGTCATAAACCCAAGAATACAGGATTCAAACAACGATTTCGTAAATCCTGTATTCTTGAGTTGATGCTGAAGTTTTTCGTAGGCATTTATACATATCAATCACAGAGGAGTTATATATTTAGTTGAAGATCTTTCCGAACTGTCGTACAAATAAAATCGGAGTTCCAGTTATTCAGGGGAAAGTTAATAATTTATTATAATCTCACAATTTTGATAATGTCGGTTGTCAATCAAACCAATTTTATAAATCATAAACTTTGATTGTTTGATGTGTGGTATCGGTTGAACTAATCCTAAAATTGAGAACATGGAGGGTGTCATATCTATAATTTATAAAAAAAATGAGTTACTGAATTCATCTCTGAGCCCACAATATTGTTTGAAGAAATTTGAGAACCAGCATTAAATAAAGAATGATCTTCATGAATTGATGAACTCGTCAGTGAATTTAAGAACTAGCTTTAACAGCAAAACGTAAAATTACGTAATTTTTAAATTAATTTCCATGGGTTTCCTCTTAGACTAAAATTCAGTTTAAGATGAGTGCTTGGTTAATTTTGTTAGTAATGGAAAATTTGAATTTCGCCAACGTTGCCACTCGCTGTTCGTTTGAAGTCCAGGGTAGTGAACTAGCTAAAAATAATTTGTGACCACAGAACTAAAAAATATAATGATACCACAGAAACTGAAAAAATGTTGAACATTTCTAAATTTGAACCTGAATATTTATGTAAAATTTTATTTGAGTGATATCAGCAGCATTAATTTTCGAGGAAATATATATAAAGATATAGACTTTCGGTTGAGTGGAAGAACGACACTTTTCTTCGGATAAAAGTTGAACCATTGAAGGTGGACAAATTCTAAAATTCAATCCTATATTCAATGGCAATTTTGATTTTTGAACTCTTCTAATCAACTTTCGTGAGTTATAGTTCCCAATTCAAGTCGCTCATAATCGATACTTCATACAAAAAAATTATTATGTCATATGAACGAACACGAAAATGCGATCTTTAAAAAACTCCTTATCGTTTGGTCTAAATATTTGAAACATAGGGTCTGGATATTTATTTATACAAAAATAACTCTACACAATTAGTATGCACCTGGTCAATGCACATCATCGTACCGATCATGTTAGAACTTAACCCAAAAAGTAATATACCAACAAGAAGTGACATAATTGCTTCAGCCCATTGGTTTGAATTCATTATTCATCAGAATATCAGGTGATGATTGACTTCTTTTTATACTGGATGCTACGGACACAAAATCACTAGAAACTACTGACTGGGCATTCGAAATTTGAAACAGTGCCAACTTCGACAAATTCTTACTGACAATTTTATCTTTACAACTTTCATCAACATTTATCCGATACTCAGGAATACACTCATTTTTGTCTTGTTCAACTCGAGTATCATTATCAGAAATTATTTTGTCGGTTTTTGGCACCATAACTTCTTTTTTTCGTTTCATTTTCTTTTCTTTCAAATTTCTTTCATTGATAATTTTGATATTTGGTAGGCCTGGAATTTCTTTTCGCTCATATATTTTAACGATTTTTTCGTCTTCCTGAAAATAGCTGCGACTACATGATGGTTTGCTTTCTCTTTCCAATTTTTCCGGTGTTTCGTTTTGAATTTTGACTTTTCTCGGATTTTTTTCGGGTTTACGCCCATATTTGTTGATTTTGTCATGATGAATGTAATGTAACTGATTATTGGTTTCGCTTCGAGTTCGCTCAAGTTTCAGTTTTTCTAATTTCAAATTCAAATTGTCCACTTCCAGTTGGAGGCACAGATTTTCATAAACCAGACAACCGTTTTGTTTGACAAGCTACAAAAAAATAAAAAATCTTTCACATCGAACGAAATTTGAATTTTGAATGAAGAGATACCTGCAGATATTTCTTACTACTTGGGGATATCGGTGTACTCAGCTTATCGTTCACTAGATCATTCAAATCCGTAGTTAAATTTTCAATTTTTCCTTTATAATCGTTTTGCAGCTGAAATTAAAAGAGTTGAATTGATAATATGTTTTTTGAATCAATGTATCATCAAAAGTGTTGACCAATGACGTGACTAGAAAAATGTAAAAAAAATGCGCTCATCAACGATTTCTCTTCACATTCAGAAATTTAGTATTGAAAAATTAGGAGAAGTAACTCACAACCATTATGTTGAAAGTAACATAGTTTAAGAAGAGCTTAGTTTGATATTCTCAACTAGAATCGTCATCCAGTTTTCAACCCACCAAAAAGTATCATAAACGAAGCAACCTACTTCAATAACTTTCATCTGCTCAACGAAGTGCTCTAGCACTCAAAAACTCACAAAGGTATTGTCGTAACAGTATTGTTTGTATGATCTAAGGAATTCGACACAGAACCTCATGAGGTATTAGGTCCGGCGTTACGTTCAGAGGGTCTTCCCATACAATTAGTGAGGATTGCGAAAGATGCATTTCCTGGCCTGCTCGGATGATATCATCCTGGTACTTCGAGAATACACCATACTTTCTATCAAACATGTTTTACCCATTGACAGCTGGTTGTGATTACCAGGTGTTTTCTTGGAGTCTACAGACAACACTACGGTAGGAACGAGTGAACCGATGGCTAACTTCTTGCGGCAACCTCGATGAGGCTTTATCTGGTACCAGGAGGACCCCTCGGAGGCATCAAGCGAATTACTGTTTATTGTAGAATCCGTTTTTCTAATTTGTTCTGTCTGACCGTTGTTCAGACAATTGAGGTTTTCCTCGATAGAGGACCGGCCAAGAGTAATTGATACAGTACAGCAAAGAAAAAGTCCAGGGGTTCTGACTCACATGTTCCAAAGCCACGTTCTCCCAAACAACCAAGCTCAGGCGACCGCTTGTGGCGGGAATTCCTCATGCAGATAAATGACAGAAGTTTCGAAAAACAAGGAATGACATATGTTACAAAAACGGCTATCGAAAAACTGAACAATATTGTGAAACCAAACTGAATTATAGAGAATAGATAATATTGAACTTCAAGATTACAGACTTAACGGAAAAATTCGTTCACTAAACAGTTAGAAACAAGAAGGAGCCCCCTCAAATAAGAGTATTTTCTATTTTCAGCAAACAAAGTTTTCTACGAATACTTTCAGATATCTCGAATATCTATGAAAACAATTCCTATACTGTAAAAACTTTTGTAGATCATTTTAGTATTGTAAGCAAATAAATCATCAGGTAAGGTAGGAAAATAGCTATTTTATACTGATTATCGTAATATGCAAATAATGAAAGAGACAATTTATCCGAAAACGCAATCAGAATATCCACATTTTCAAGTAGTGAAAATATTTTTTCAATAAATTGATGGATGTAGCCGTTACTGCGTGGTATGAAATCATAATGAAGAAAAGAGAATTGAAACTTTCTATTTTATTTTTCTGATTGATTCAGTCATTACTTGATGAAGATCCATAGTAATTTCAAAAACTGCACCTCACGATTTGATCTCCACGAACTTTATTTGAAAAAATATAATCATAACACGTTTCGCTAGCACAGTGTATATACCTACATACACTTGAGAAAGATACTGTGCTAGCGAAACATGTTGTGATTATATTTTTTCAAAGAAAGCTCGTAGACATCGAATCGTGAGGTGATAGTTCTTGAAAAGAAACTTTCTATGTTTTTCACCACTTTTATTTGTAACTAACGTTACTGCAGTTTCGTCCTATAAGGACATTTTCAAACTTATACATTAAATGTGTAAGTTTCAATTCTCTTTTCTTCATTATGAAAATATTGTTATTCCCCATTCTCAGACTACCCAGTTTCATATTCACTATACTGTGGATCCAGATTAGGATCATCTTCAAAGCTGCTCTGGATACATCGCTCTCTGTGATTCCTATGAAGACTGGAAATTGAAAGAAAGTAGTATTTTTCATGACTATATCTCTTGAAGACTACTACTCTAGTAGTAGATAGTCTTCAATAATAGATCATTATCGGTCTTGATACAAAGTGCGTTACGAACCACTACTGCTGCTCAACGAAATGCATTTCCGAATTTGAAGAACTCATGAATGAGCGATGAACTAACAAGAAATTAATCGAACCTTCGAAAAGCGAGTGAGCGTTATGAATATGTGGCATTATGGCGAGGAGAGAACGTGTCTAAGACTGTTCATGAGCTTTCTATTCTGTACAACTTACAGGCTGGTTAGAGAGAGCGTTCAGTTCAGTCCGGTACAAGTCATAGTAGAGATGAGAAGAGAATTAAATCAGTAACACAAGTGAAGGAAGTTATTGTACATTTACACCGACTAAAGTTGTAATTTTTGGATTCGTTATGCCGCTGATGTCTAGAAAAATGTATTTTAATGTACGGGTATTGGTCCGGTAAACAAGAATCGAATGTCAAAATTCATCGGTGGGGTATACTTTTTCACTGTCTAGGACTTCGGATGAAAACAAATGATTTGCCGTTTTTTTTTGAACATATACAATCTATTGAAAACACTCTTTTCCAGCAGGTACGTCCGACCTTGAACTAACTCAGCGCAAAGTTGGTGGCATCAGAATTTTACTGTTATAATATAGCTCATCTCAAAAAAGAATTGCAGTTCTGGTATTTTTGTGTGAAATTTCTGTGTAAATTTGGGGAATATAAAAAACTCATCGAAATTTGTAGATATATGAAAACAAATCTTCGACAAATAGTAAGTGAACTATCAACTATCTCAACTATCAACCTCATATCTACCCATATTCATCTTCAATTTTTTTCTGAATAAAAGAAAAATAATATAATCTTTGTTCCGGTGACAATTTCATAATTAATCTCTTACTTTTTCATGTTCCAACTTCATAGTCTGAAGCTCCGTTTTTAAACAAGTTTTGGTATTTTTCATTCGGAGAAACTTTATGCTCAAATTGAAATTTGCCTCCAGAGTCTGATTGAGAGTTTGTTTCAATTTCAAAATTTCCGATTTGAATTCTTCTGTTCCTTTCTCCTCACTATTCGTGACGGAACTACTCAAAACCCGCTTGAGTTTCTTACATTCATTCATTTCCCTGCAGTATATTTCTTTTTCTTTAAAATAATACTTTCGTTCATCTTCCAATTGCTGGCTCAAGTTAACATTGGACCTTTTTGTCTTCAATAGGTCGATACCGAGTTTTTCTTTTTCTCGAGCTAAATTTGCAATAGCTATTTCTTTTTGTTCCGTTTCGCGCTGCAAAGCCTGAATAGCTGCTTTCAGATTCACTATTTGGTCTTTCAGTGCGTCTAGTTCTGTCTTTAGCAATTCTGCTTCTTCGTTCATCTGTACTTCTGAATTTTGCGTGGTAGGTTCATGCGATGATGATGAAGGTTTTGACAATACACTCCTGTAATATAATTGTATATTACCAAACAAGTTGACACTTCACTACATTGCGAATTTACCTAACTAGTTTCTTAGTACTAGATAACTTCTTCAGAGCTCTTTTCATCAAATTAAAGACTGTAATTATATTAAATCAACTTACAAATCTTCAACAGTATATCTGTCATTCCAATGACGTTCTCATTAAAATTTTGACCAGTTTGACATTTTGATGATGATATTGGATGTAGTTGGATTTGAATAAGCGAAGCAAGAATGAAATCTGAATATAAATTTCATCTTTCCATGTCTTCTGTAAAGTAACAATCTAAGTGGGTAAATGAATTTTACTAAAAACTAAAACCCTTTTTTCTGAGATGGCAGTAGTTAAAGATAGGTAATTATCGATACCTAGTGAAAAAGTAATCGTTATAAACCATACTCCACTAAAGAAGTGTAGACATACATAATTTATTTAATTTAATTTTTTGCAACATATAAAATTCTTTGGTGGAAAAAATATTACTGAATTATGATTCGATTGGGTAAGTGATTGCGGAATTATTATAGATTTATTGGACTTAAAACTGTAATATCTCAGTGAAACATATGACATTTAAACGGAGAAAACTTTTGAAACAACCTAATATATTTTTCTGATACATCCTGTTCGAGTCTAAGCATGGAAATATTGTGAATGGTAAAAGACTCCCAGTAGGATTGTAGGAAAGTTACTTTATCATTATAGATATTTTTTTTTGGCGTACTTTTTATTCTCAGTAGTAATTGAAATTATGTTGATACTTTTCTATAGAAACTTCACTATCAAAAAATTATATTAATATCTTTATACAAGATGTTGACCTTGGAATTTCGAACACAGAACTGTATTTTTATAGCAATTTGTGATCGCCAATTTTCATTTAATTTTAATAATAAGACACCAGCTGGTACATATGTAATGAACCTGTTCAAGACAACATGAAAAATCACAAAAACTTATGATTGTTAGAGGCCCATGTATCACAAGTTAATAAAAAATTCAAATTCACAACATACGGTTTTTTTCTACACTTCGCTATAACAAAGTATCCAAACATAATATATTCACAAATTGATAAACCACACAAAACATGTGAACAAAGTAATATAAAATTTACATTTATATAGTATCTACATTTAATTATACCAGAATACGCGGTTGTGAAAATTAAGTAGGATCAGTATACGATAGATTTAAGTAAGAAAACATATTGTTGAAAAATACGAATTCAGTCATTCATGTACTCAATATTACTGGAGTTTTTTCCCAACACCAAACCGTTATTTTAACACTTCGACATCACATGTTTCGATGATGATCACTTGGTGATCGAAACACGTGTCGAGGTGTTAAAAATAATGGTTTGTTGTTGGGAAAAAACTCCAGTTACTACACCAAAGGTTCCAAACAATTCATCAGAAGTATATTTATGTACTCATATATTTGAACATTGTATTTTCAAACAATTTTTCTGTTGAAATTTTTCTACACTAACAGATAATAACATTGAATCAATTTCAAAATTGATTTTTGTTCTTATATGTATGCATACACGAATACCACTTGACCCAAAAATTTTCTCAGATAAATGTCCGTTTTGAAAATTTGTTTTTTAGACCAATGGTTTCGTGTATAATAATTTTATCATAAACTCAACTCATTTGCTTAGCAAAATTTCAAAAATTATGCATTAAAACAAATTTCAACGGATGGTACTTAGTGCTCTCGGGGTATAATCCTTGAATATTTGTATAGTCTTAAAAGACTACATCTGTATAACTCAATTTTGTATATGCATATAAAAGTATATGCATAACAACTTATCATTGATTTAGTAGTTGGTAAAATTTGCTTAACAGTATGTTAACCACTCAAGTTTTTAAGGAGTTACTTCAGATTTTTAATGAAGACGGCAATAAGGTTCGAGATGTATGTCAAATTTTGATCCGAAGTGTTTCCTTAAAGTATGACAAAATAGCTTTTGTAACTTGAATTAAAGAGCTTAAGCACATTTTTGTTACCATTCTATGCCTTTGTAAATATTTTATATGGAAACAATAGAAAAACTGACAATAAAATGTCCATCCATGAATCTAAAGCACATTTAGAGTTGGGTTCAATTTATGTTGGTTATCATGGAGGATTAGAGAATAAAAAAGTAAACAAAACAAAGTGCATTTTTAGGTTATAATAAGGTTATAACGTAAACATTTTGAAGAAAAAACTAACAAAATGAGTGGTAATATTGAAATACCCGCAGAAGTACCTCCCGAAATAACTTCAACTGACGAAACGAGTTTATTGGTGATTATTATGGACACTAATCCGGGCCAAAAAATGCTTCGAGATAATCCGCATGTATTAACCCATTGTGTGGAGTCTGTGATAGCTTTCGCAAACTCGCACCTTATGCAGAAATCTCAAAATAAACTCGCCATTATGGCATGTCATTCTAAAACAAGGCAAGTGTTTGTTGTTCATAGTGCGAAATGGTTAACCATATCTAACTGTGAAATTTTGTAGCCGCTTCATTTTCCCTGGTCCTGGAAAGTCTTCAGATGTTAGGCAAGTGGATGGGCAGTATGAAGTCTTCACAAATGTAGAAAAGACAACAAAGCATAATTTAGCCGAGCTCATGACCAAGGAACACTCAGCCTCCATTACAGAATCTCTTATAGCAGGTACAATTGCTATGGCTTTGTGTTATATTGCCAGGCTCCAAAGAACAAAGCCCCCCGGTGCAAAGGTAAAATATAACTTGACAAAAAAAAGTACCGTAATGACTGGTTAGAGCCAGTTTTATAGGTTCAGCTTGAACTAGAGTTTAACAAATAGATTAAATTTCAGTTTTCAATTAGTTTTAACTGAGTTCATACATACAACAGCGTTTTTTTGATGCTTTATAAATTTCAAATGAAATAGGCATATTTATTAATGAGAAGCTAACATTTTATTTAGGGAAGTCACCAATAGTAAAATTTCAAAATTGCAGGGACCACTTTCTCAAAAATTAGACAAATCTTTTAGAATCTTCAATCTTGGCTAGTAGTTCCATATTCAAGAATCATTTGTGACATTTTCATGAAGTAGAAAGAACACATGAACTCTTTGACACTAGTAAATAAAAAATTTCTCACATGAAAGTTTTTGGACGCTCTATATTATATTAACATAGCTTCTTCATCTTTCGGTAACCAAAAAGAAACTTATTGGATTAACTTGAATTCCAGCTAAGTTTAACGACTGATTCATCTGTCGTTAAAGTTAATGAATGATCTGAATATTATCCATAGTTTAAACTTTAGTTCTGTTTTGAACAGAACATCTGGCCATTGACTCAGTAATAAGTTCACAAATAATTTTTATATTTTCAGCTAAATAGTCGCATATTAGTTGTCACAGGTAGCGGATGTTCAGCCTCTCAGTATATGAATTATATGAATGTATTCTTCACTGCTCAAAAATTGAATGTAGTGATTGATGTATGTGCACTGGACCAACACCTGAGTTTGTTGCAACAGGGATGTGATATCACCAATGGTTTGTACCTCAAGGTCCCCCAGTTGCAAGGGCTGCTGCAGTATTTGCTTGTGCGTAAAGTAAACCATCTGAATTTGGAATAAGTACCTATACAAACCCTTTTTTACAGTGGGTTTTTCTACCAGAACCTCCTGTTAGAGAAAAGCTGGTATTACCTCCTCCGGTTAAAGTAGATTATAGAGCAGCTTGTTTTTGTCATAGAGAACTCATTGATATAGGATATGTTTGTTCGGTTTGTCTTTCAAGTAAGTTTTTTCAGTTGCTGAAATTGAAGATTAATTTTTTTTATATTCCAGTTTTCTGCAAATTCAGTCCTATATGCACAACATGCCAGTAAGTACATTATTTGTCCTACTATATGTAAACTGATAAAATTAGAATACAATGTAAAATTTTTAATGTTATTTTTTTTTTCAGCACTGTTTTCAAAATGCCTGCTCCTCTTGCTGGAAAATCAAAAAAGAAGAAGAAGCTTTAAAGTTATATATTTCATTTATGACAATAAATATATTTTTTTAATTCAATGGTTATGTAGTTAAAAATGCAGTGGTGGAGCCTATCATTGGGCATATATCCAATAAAAATAACTACTTTTCTGGATAATACCACATGCAACTGACTTCAAATTTGTGTAATGTTTCACAATGTAAAATATTCCTATAAAAGAACATCAAGAAATATTGGTGTATCTTGGTTCAAAAAGATCAATTCCATAGAAGGGATCAAGGTACATATAATATCCGTGGATGGACCCTTTTCCATGCTAAAAATTCTCGACTTACAGCACTCTGGATAAGAAATAATAAAGAAATCCAATAAATTTCAGATTAACATTCACAGAGGTTTTGAATACACTATCCGACAATGTCAGGTTGGCACTTCAATTTTCAAAATACGCGGGATAGATTTCGATTCTTGCAGCATCAATCTCAATTTCTCGCATCTAAATTTTTTGACAAAACAAAAGCGTATCGGTTAAAACACCAGGGTTCCTTTCTATACTTCTGTTGAATGTTAGTCAAAATTGTCAGATTTAACAGTTCAATTGATAAGTTAACAAAATATAAACAGGTACATTTTTCTATATGCTAAGTACATGTAAACAATCTTGTTTGAGTGGTCCTGGTTTTTATCTTATAAAAACAGAAGAAAGGAGGAATAAAAATATGAAATTTGAATGGGATCCAAGATATCAAGGTCGAATACTCAGAATAGGTAACTCTACTCTGAACATACGTAATATTACTTAGAAGTCTTAATATGGAACGTCTTCATTTTCCTTGAGTTTCGTTGCACCATCTTGCGGCGATGGTTTCCGCTAGATTAGGATAATTTTAAAAACTCCACATCGGGACATAGAAATCTCAATATGGAATGTCTTCATTTTCCTTGAATTTTGTTGCATCATATTGCGGCAATTGTTTTCTCTAGAACAGAATAATTTTAAAAACTCCACACCGGGATGTTTTGCGACAGTTGGAGCTTGGCTCAAACCTCACTCTCCACACTATAATTTGGGAATTCCGACTCGGAATGTAGACGCACAGATTACAGATTACAACCACAGCTTACTTACTATAAAGCTGTGTTACAACTAATTGTTTTTGCCACAATCACATCGCAAAAACTACTTATTGTGACTTGTGTTCAGACATTTTTTCAATTATAACTGAACTAGACATCATAACCTAACCCGACCCTATTATATCATTCCGAGTTGAATATCTGAAAAACACATATGAGTTTAAAGTTGGAAATATAAAAAAATCAATGAGAGTAGACCTTCTATGCTATCGTACAATTGTTACAATAATTTTGAAAACAGAAATTGAGTTGTGAGATAAAATTGTTTCACGTTGAATAAAACTATATTTCCGAAGAAATGTTTAAAGTAAAGAACTCTTTAGAAAAACAATCAACTTATGAACTATTTTCAGTTTTCTATTTTTGGCTACGATTTTAATATGTTTCTGCGCGGGAGGCTGATGGGCGTACAGATCTCGAGTGGGTAATATTTGAAAAACTACTTCGTGGGGAATATAAACAAACCAGTTTTTTGCTCCAACATATAATTGCAAATAGAATATGTACCTAATTCCAGTTATCACGTGCAAGCGAATTCACGCACGCGTTGCATTTTGACGTAATGAATAAAGATCAAATAAGTGGCAAGAACTGTCTAGTTTTATGTGAAATAAAAGTTAATCATACAATAAATTCAGTGTTTAATATTTTATACTTATGATATGTCAGTGAAAAATGATTTGTGGATTCATCGGTTGCGCATTCTGTATTCGTGGGATAATTTTCTGTGAACATAATTGAAAGGTAAAATCCTATGACTCTTCAACATCTTCTGCTTCCACCTTATTTTCCCAAACACTTTAATGAAGAAAATTAACCATATTACACCTGTGCATATCAGTTTATCGCCTTCTACCTCTGATTGATTGATGGATTGTTATCGTTTTTATAAGTGTTTGGTTATTTATAAACATTAGATAACAAAATCCTAACCTCAATACGATTTTTGTATTTTAAGGGTGTAACAGTGAAAATGGTTGTGAAGTCCCCACTGAAACGGACCGTTCGCATATTATTAGTAGGTGATGCTGGTGTGGGTAAAACTTCCTTGATTTTGTCACTCGTTAGCGAAGAATTTCCTGAAAATGTACCCTCAAAAGCTGAAGAGATTACAATACCAGCAGATGTTACTCCTGAACAAGTCCCCACGAATATCGTCGATTTTTCCTCTTCTGAGCAGACTGAAGCAGACCTAAACGACCAGATTAAGAGAGCTAGTGTTGTGTGTATAGTTTACGCTGTTGATGATGATGATTCTATTGACAGAATCACATCGTATTGGATGCCTTTGATAAAACAGAACCACCCTGACATTCCTTGTCCCGTGGTCTTAGTTGGAAATAAGATTGATCTTGTTGAATATTCAACAATTGATGTAAGTTTATTACTTTTATTATTATAATTATCTTCGAAATATCCCTTTGATAAAATGAGACAAAAACTTGTGTGAATAAATTATAAAAATCTTTGACTAATATGTAATCTATAAAATATTACTTACAGTACATGAAAATAACATTTAATGTGGAATATAACTATAAAAAAAGATATAGACCAAAATAAAAATGCCATGGACTGTAGATAAAATTAGAAAATATTAATTATACAGGGGCTTTCACGACGAGCGTTCGTTAGGAATATATCGAGAACGATTCAAAATTGTTTTCAAAGCTTTCTTGGTTTGGTATTGATCCGAATGATTTACATTTCAAATATTTCCCATCAAAATCAGATATATCGTGCCAGGGGTGTATTTTAGGTATAGGACACTTCATGAATTTGATATCTTTTTTTTTTCGAAGTATCCAAAAATAATAGAATAGTGTATGGTTTCCATTTAAAAAAATCGTGTTTCATCAGTTTTCTCGATGTTATGTTTTAGGTGGAAATTTTGACCACCCTGTAAATTATTTTTTGAAAATTCGATAGACCTGTTCATGACTTGATGCTTAAGGTGTGATTCTGTGAAATTTCACATTTTCAACTGTTACTATCTATGAGTTATGATTTTTTCGGAGTGGTGCTGTTACTGTCAAATTTTTCAGAAAAAAATTAATATCTCGAAAACTAACAAATTTGGGTATAGGTATTGTTATACAAAGTGGGCCTAAAATGTGCTGAGAAATTCAAAAATGTAATAAAATATAGGGTGTACCATTTGAAATAAGGAAGTTGCCCTCCACTTCCGGTATAACGGAAAGAGACCGGAAGTTGAAAATATTTTAGTTGAGAAAGCCATTTTGTAAAACCCACTACCACAAAATTTCAAGTTTTTATTTTGAATCGTTCTTCATATATTCGTAACGAACGCTCGTCGTGAAAGACCCTGTATTATAGAGATGATACCTGTATTAGGATGGAGCCTACCGAAAAAATCCTTATGTATTATTTGAGTATAGAAATCTTTTTATGATAAAGTTTAACAATATTGATTATTAATGTTCTACATTTTTTATTCTTCAAATAGTCAGATGCATTACTATTTCTAAATAACCTTTTATCATTTATTACCAAATATTGAATATACACAATTTTGATCAAATGTCTTTTTGTCTACATCTGACAAAGTGAAATAGATTATAGACTGCCATCAGCAAACAAATAAATTTTGTAATCTCCTGATATTTCCACTGCATTATAATTAATTTTCAAAAATAGGAAAGGGTTCAAAACACTACCTTGATGAATTCCTTGTGAACTCTCAAGTTTTGTTTTCTTCATCCAAATATTCACTAATCAACTTCAATATGTCACTCCTAACAAATCTGAATTTTTGTATCAATCTCTGTCCCTCTCAACAGATTCAAAATTCTTTCCTCTTGACTGTTTTTTTCTTAAAAAAGAAGACTCACTGAAACTGAAACTTTCAATTTATCCATGCATGTAAACTGTCACACTCGTATCTCTCAATACTCAGCTTCATTAATAGACTACATTTGCAGTAATTTAGATTTAACAAACATTGATTGCTCGGTTATCCCTTCTGGGCTATTGGATCATGAAGCTGTAGTCTTTTCCTTCAAATTCCCTTCCAAAACTGCCAGTAAATGTGAGAAAAGGAGTCGTTTATTCAGCAAGCGGAACTATAATAGGTTTTATCAACGTTGTGAGTAAACAAACTGGGCTTCCTTCTTAGACAATTCTCACCCTTTTGAGGCATTCTACAATGGGTTATTAGAAAATTTCAATAAATCATTTCCTCTACAAAAAATCAAAATAAAAAAAAGAAAACCCTGGTTGACTAAAGGTATTAAAATCTCTGCCAAGAACCTAAGATCATTACATTATATAAGAAAATTTATAGATCCTAACCAAACTTCATTTATCAATTACTATAATAATTATAGGTCAATTTACAGAGTTACTTTGAAGCATGCTAAGCAGATCTACTACAAACATAGACTAAATATAGCAGGAAATAAATCTAAGGAAAGCTGGTCCATTATCAACGATCTCAGAGAAAAGTCCAATAAACATTCATCCGAAGTAGGCTTGGATCCCAATTTATTAAATAATTTCAATTGCACCATAGCGGACAAACTCACCGAAAATATATCATCAACTGTTAATCCCTTGAATTTTCTTTCCAGTATTGACATATCAGAAAGTTTCTCCCTCTATGAAACAAATCCTGAGGAAATAATAGCAGTTATCATAAATATCAAAAACAAGAATAGCAAAGGTATAGACGATATTTTTGTTAAAATTTTTGAAAATCTACCTTATTCAACCTTAGTGGTTTTATCACAACTCATAAATCAGTCTTTTGAATCTGCCGAGTTCCCATCGTTTTTGAAGACATCTCTGATAATCCCTTTGTATAAGGGTGGACCCAATGATGACCCTTCCAACTTCCGGCCTATAGCACTTATTCCTACCCTTGCTAAACTCATAGAAAAACTAGTGAAAAGCAGAATTTTATGTTTTTGCAATGATAATAACATCCTTACTTCTCGTCAATTTGGATTCCAAGCAAATAAGGGTAATAATGATGCTATATTCTCTCTGTTAGAAACGATATACTCCGAATATAACGCTAAAGAAGCAGTCGCTGCCATTTTCTGTGATCTATCGAAAGCTTTCGACTGTGTCAACCATGATATCCTTCTTAATAAGTTGCAACAGTATGGCTTCAGAGGCAACACTCTCCACTGGTTTCATTCGTACTTATCAGGTCGCAAACAGATAGTTAAAACAACCGAGTGTTCCTCTGCTCAAACTATCAAATGTGGTGTACCACAAGGATCGATCCTTGGCCCAATTTTGTTTCTTATCTACATAAAGGACTTAGCTTTTATAGATATAACGGCAACAATTACTCTCTTTGCTGATGACACCACTTTATTATGGCACAACAAGGACATTCCTACCCTTCAAGATGCCATCTCAGCTGACATCAACAAAATCAAAGAATGGTGCGACTGCAATAAGTTATCATTAAATATCAATAAAACTAGCATACTTACTTTCCACTGCAACTTACCTGAGATCTGCCTTGGTGACATAATCTTAGACAGGGTACATAATCATAAATTTCTAGGGTTGAACATTGATGATAAACTGAAATTTAAAAATCACACAATAAACTTAAGCAAGAAGCTTGCCTCAGGTTGCTATGCACTAAGAGTGATTTCTAGAGAACTAGGCTACTCCCATTCAAGAACAGCTTATTTCGCTCTAATAGATCCCCATAATAAATATGGAATTGCCTTCTGGGGAGTCTGTTCTAGAGATTTATTTCAAATGATTTTTGTGCTCCAAATAAGGGCTGTCCGATATATGTGCAAAGCAGCTCCCAGGGATCCATGCAAGCCTCTTTTCATAGCTCACGGTATTTTAACAGTAGCTGCCCTGTTTATCTTGGATTCAATTTGCTTGATAGAAAAACATTATTCATGTGCATCTCCCCCTTCCTCATATAATACTCGTAGCCACAATAGTAACGTAGATCTGCCTATTCCTGAGAGCTCCCTTGTTAGGGATTCAATTATATTCAACGGGATCAAACTGTTTAACCATTTACCAGCCCGAATTAAAGAAATTATAGTGCTTAACAAATTCAAAAAAGCAGTTAAAATGCTACTTGTTGATAGGGCCTATTATTCAGTTCAGGAGTATCTTGACGATTCACTTGAATCTTAACTTTGATTTCTATGTCTTGTTATTTCCATCTGGATATCTCAGTGTATTTCACATTTTTAGCTTATGTTTATTGTATTTTGTTTAAATTGTGTATGTTTTTTTTATGTAGATTTTTGTATATTACATATTATTTATGACTTTGTCTACAATATGTAGTTCTTCAGACAATAAAGTATCAGTTATCACTTCCTTAATTCGTCAATAACAATTTATATTTTCCAGTTTAACACAATTAACATTCCGAACTCTTTGTGCATATATTATTTTTATTTCATTTGAAGAAGGATAAGCAAAAATTCTACCTTTTGATAGTCGAATGTAGATTTGTAATCCTTGATATTTAATTTTTATTTTATTTGAAGAGTTTATATTTTTGCATAGGCATATGAGGTCTGTAAAAAAAATTGTGAATGTTGAAATTTTGCAGGCTACTTACATTCGATTAGAGTTTTTTATGTTGATACACTCGTCTCGAACATATTTTCACAGTTTCAGCTAATTAGCATGTTTAATTTCTGTTCTTGAAAAAAAGTTACCAAAGAATTTGCATCAGATTTGTGAAAACATAAAATTAATTGCTCAAAAATACTTGAAATGTTGACAGTGGCATACGATAATTGTACTCCGAGTCAGAAAAATGTTTACAAGTGATACAAGTTTTTCTACGTTATCCCTGGACGACATAGCACGTTAACAACGGATGGAGATGTTGAGAAAGGGAAAAAAATTGTTATGGAGGATTGTAAAATCCTCATGCCATGCAATTTTTTCGGAAATTTAGGAAATTAAGCTTGTGGTAGCGATATTCGTTACAAAATTGCTGAATTTTGACCAAAAACATGTAACATGTTTTTTGGGAAAAATGAAAATTCACCTCATTTTTTCAACAGACCTTAATTAACTCCATTTTCATATATTCCTATTTCATACAAACTGTAATTTTTTCAATATTAGTTACCTAATTTTCTAAATTCCATTTCATTTGACTAACTTGGTTCTTCCAATTACAACTTTATAATACTGATTTTTCTGTTATTTGATCAGCTGCTAAATATGTGGTATAATTATGGTGGTAGTGGTGAACCCTGAGAAACTCTGTTCAAAAAGTTGACTATTTTCAATCACAATTTTCTGCGATAGTGTGATTCTTGTTTGTATAGAGTAGTCATTTGAACATCATAATTCATTTAGTTTGTAAAAGGACCGATATTGATGTTTAAGAATATTGCTGCT